AATTTGAGGGGCAAGAGACAGGGGAGGGGGACAGATTGATTCTCTGTGAATAATGCCCCTGAAAGGATCGCAGTCACTTCAACAGGAGAAGGGTGACCGGGGCACATCCACTAGACACAAACTTATGACTCACACTGAGCCAGTGTGTTGTCAAAATTACATTTTCCACATCATCTGAGCTAATATGCCCGAGTAATGTGAAACAGTACGAATCGGGTTTTGTAAGGGGGTGTTCTAACTTACAGTTGTCAGTGTGGAAAACAAAGGCAATTCTCTTGCATTGGTCCACTGTAAAAGACAAACCTGTGAGGGGAGGATACCTATTCTGATTCTTCATGGAAATATGTTTTAAATGCCTTCTTTGGAAGTGGCAATGCAGGGTTGCCATTTTTTTAAATACCAATGATCATGTGCAGTTATATATGACAGTTACAAGTCATGCAACAGATTTTAAGTGGGGTATTTTTGTGGCTCAGGGTAGATATATCTGCTTCTTTTCATTTGTTTTCTGTTTATTAACTAGAGTGACGATGCCAGGAAATTTAAATGTCCTGTCCTAGTCACAGAATAAAGTGCAGACAGGATACTTATCTGAAAAGGAAGGAAAGACTGGAGTGGGGTTAAGGAGAGGATGACCACTTTGTGTTTTACTCCCGAGCAGTCACCCCACATCTGTCCAGCCTATGGGCATCCATCTGGAATGTTGTTTCTCCCACAGCACTTTAAATCAGTGCCTGCAAAGACTCTCCCAAGAAATAATAGAAGGGAAATCCCTAGAAAAACAGGAAAATAGAGACTGTTTCCCAAGAAACAAGACGGTTTGCGAGGACTTTAACAGATACCAAAAGTAAATGCTCTGTCATCTCCTAACTCTCTCATCTCCCATGGGTCCTAGGCTGCCCGAAACATCCCTTGAGTCCCGGCGCACAGCCCTATGAATGCGGAGACAGGAAGACTCTGTGTGGCTCTTCCGCCCCTGCCCTCTCCCTCTTCTGTTTGTCCCTCCAGCCAAGAGCATTGTTTGAGTCACTTCCAAGGGCGGCTTTCCTCACAAGAGATGGGTTGAGGGAGAGGAGGGGACAGAACCAGTATTGTTCTTAGACAAAGACAGAAAAAGACAAGACAGAAGGGTACGTCACCCAGAGGACAGAGCGCAGAACCTCGTCTGTAATGCGGGGCCTGGCAGCCCAGATGTTACCAACGCACCGTCCCTCCCTGCAAGAAAAATCGGATTAGTCACCATCCTGTCTCCTAATGGACACACTCTGTGCTCTTTAGAGCTTCATTTACTGGGTTAATAGTGCTTTGCCTGAGTTCCTTTGCTATGAAAAAAAAAACCTGTGAGAAGAAATATTCTGGGTGCAGTCCACAGCCGCTGACACGAGTAATATTGTATTCATCACAGACAGACCTCGTATCTCATTACTACTGAAGAGCTGCCTGGAGGCATCCGAGCCTGGCCAGGCCAGGCCTCTCATGTGGAACGGTTCAGGTATATTGTGAAATGATTTAATGCGATAATAATGTCCACTTTGCGAGATAGATTATGTTTTTTATAGTGGCTGATGGTTAATGAATGATACATTAGCAAACATCACTAAAACATTATGGAAGAATGCAGATGCTGACACGGGCTGCCTTCTCCTGCCACTTCCTGGCTTTCTCCCCCAGCGGTCTCGCCACCACCCTCCCCCCACTTCCTTGCCTAAAGATGGAAGGCAGAACTTACAAGAATCAGAAAACTTAATTTATTTTTTTTAAAGAAAGAATCCCAGCTGTGTGGCCCTGCCTCCCGCCTCTCCTCACCAGAAGGAGGCATGAATACTAAAAGACATTCAAACATGACCTGAAATATCTCTTCTTAAATCAAATGAGAATCAATGAAAGTACGAACCTGAACAAATACATTATATGTTGACCCAGTTTATTAGATGAAGCCGTTTACCCTGATTTGATTTATCTGGCAATACACAGCTCAGCTGTGAAATGAAATAAGCGGGGCCCATTCACCTTATTTACTGTATCGTCCTGGCCCTTCCTAGCAGCGCCTGCTTAAGGGCCGTCAGTCTTTCCATTGCAAATCTCAGCAGCAGTTTCCCAGCTTTGCTTCCTGTTGTTGCATAGCGTGGTCGACCCCACCCAGGAGGGCAGCCTTGGAATAGATGGGTCTAATTCTGTGATTGTCTTTGTGGTCTCTGCTGCTGAGTGACGAGGGACCCTGAAGGTGCTACCACAATGCTAAAGCTTGTTCCCACTTAGTAAAGCAGGTTAGTGACCTCTCCCTTTATGCCTTCCTTCTCTCCTTGGCCTGCCCTGAGAGGACATTCCCATGCGATCCTCTTTTCATTGCTGTTTCTTGTGGAAAACAAATGCCTGCCTGGCTCCCAAGACCCAACTACCGATGTCAGGTCTTCAAGGACAGTGAGGGGATGACATCACGGAAGATGTTCGAATCACAGAGGACCTGCCTAGAGGAAAGAGGGCAGATTCCGGCTCCCAGATCCAGTGAGGTCACTACAGAAACTCAGAGGAGAAGAGGAAAGGAGAAGGTGGATTTCATTGTTGTTTCATCGAAAGGATAATAAACCAGTCCCGTTGCTGTTCGGGTCCCACCAAGTATACAACCTCATGAAACCAGACATGGGCAACACACTTCTGGGTGAGTCCTCACATATCTCCAGACTCCAGTCCAGGACATACTGATACAAGGTGCAGAGCTGAAGGACAGAAAGAGCTAGGGATCCAGGGAGTAGCACAAGAGCACCTGCTGCACCCCTTTGAAGTCCCCACTGCTTCAGCCTGGACTTGGTGACAGCCTTTGACCCTCTGCTTAACAGCTGACCCTGAAACCTCAAGGAACTTCCAGGTGACATGGCGGGTTGGTCCCAGGCTGACCTGATCCTAAAAATCTCACTAAAGAAAAAAGAAATGAGATTAAAAATAAGCTGTGGCCATAGGGACAATGAGAATACGAGGTGTGTTATGCAAGCCAGTTTGGGGAAGCTAGCAACATTGGAAGGCTAGTAACTGACATGGTCACCTAGAAGAAATAATCACAGTGAGAACATGTAAATGCCTACGGGTGATATCTTACCCAGAGCAGATGGCACTGATGTAATTGAACTCACTTTAAAATACTCCATATGACAGGTACAGCAGGGGCCAGATGTCACCATCCTAAAAATGGAAAGTCTGCATTGTAGTTTGGGTCAAGAATGTTCCCCAAAGACCCCATGTGTTAAATGCTTGTCCTGTGGTCTGTGACACTATTATGAGGTGATCATTTGGGAGTTGTGGTTCAAATGTGGTCATTGGAGTGGAGGTATATCACTGAAGAGGAATGTGAGACAAGTCCCTCCCACGGTTTCCTCTTTCCAGTTAGTCATGATGGGAACAACTTCCTTCCACCATGTACCCCACACCATACTGTCCTGCCTCATCCCAGGCCCAAAACAAGGAAGTTGACCAACCATTGACTGAACCCATGAAATAATTAATTTTCTCCCTTTTAATTTGATTTGACCCAGATATTTTGTCCATCAGTAGGAAGTTGATGAACAGTCTATGAACAAGCAATGGGACCCCACCCCGGAACTCTCCCATCACTGTTTTCCCAGTAGCAGACATTTTTCAGAACCGATGGAGAAATGCTAGAGATCCATATATTAGAAGAGAAAGGGAAAAAATGAAATGTTCATACAAGAAAAACCCAAAACTTCAATAGAGAAAAACATAAGTGCCGTGTACAATAGGCTTGGCAGCAAACAGTAGTCACAAACCTAGACAACAGCAATTAGGATCGTAGAGAGGTGAAAGCGAAATGAGAAACAGTATAAGAGAGAGAAGTCCTTACGGGACAAGGGGGATATGATATCTGTTGGTATTTGAATTAATAATAATGGGAACATATTTGCAAATATGGGCTAAATCCAAAAGAGAATGTTTATGTAATCTTATATAATTAAATGTGATGTGTGATTCCTTTCTCGGGAATAAGGTGTTATGGAAGGTAGGGAGGTAATGAAAAAAGTTAGAATAAGGATACCCCTGCCGCCGGGCGTTGGTGGTGCACACCTTTAATCCCAGCACTCGGGAGGCAGAGGCAGGCGGATCTCTGTGAATTCGAGGCTGGGCTGGACCGACAGCCTCCAAAACAATACAGAGAAACCCTGTCTCGTAAAAAACAAAACAAAACAAAAAAAACAAAAAAAAAAAAGGATACCCCTGCCACTACACCTGGGTTAGATTTTAGCCTTTAACTTTTCATACTCTTTGGAACAAAATACAGCAACAAAAAGAAAAACTCTATAGTAAAAGTTGCATGAAGTTTAGTACACAGGCAGGTTTTAGCTTCCTCCTCATGTCTTGGATCTATCTTTGAACCTAAAGAGTTCCGGGGTGGAGGATCAGAGAAAAGCAGAGGCGTGGAAAAGCTGGGTGCCCTTTCTGCCCTCTGCTGTGTTGGTTTTCCTTCACTTGGCCCTGTCGCTTGGGCATATGGAAGTCCCATACATTATAGAAGGCATGCCTGGCAATCAAGGCTTCTCACCACATGGCAGCCAGAGAGCAGAAGGAGCGGGGCTGGGAGGGGGGAGTGGAGACCAGGATCTAGCTACCTCCCTTAAAGACAAGCCCATAGTGGCTTGACATCCTTCCCTTGGGCCCAACTTCCCAGAGCTTCTGCCATCTCACACTAGCGTAACATGCTGGTGGCTAAGCCTTTAAGGGATATTCACAGTTCAAACCAAAGCACTGGACCAACAATGGTCTTCTGTAGAGTGTTGAACATTTAAGACCTGTTCATACTGTAGTCCCATAGCGTGAGTTTTGCAAACTCTTCTGTCTCTCATGGTGTCATAGGGCCCGCTTTTCCACTGAGATTATGTTCCAAATTTCCCATGTGTGCTTGAAGCATCAGAGAGTACACAACCACATACATGTACAGTTACAACTATAGTTATCCTGTGCAAACATTTTTATTAACATAAAAAATGTAGTGGTGTACATGATGGCTTCTCAGAAGCTCCATAATAGAGAGCTGGTTTGTGTCCACAGTGTCTTTTGTGCTCCACTCTTCTTCCTAGCAGACGAGCTTCAGCTTCACTGTTGGAGTTCAGGGAAGTTTCCTGGGACCATCTGAATGAGTGCAGTGGACTAGGGGAGGAAGGGAGAGAGGGACAGAGATGGAGGAATGGAGGGAGGAGAGAGAGAAAGAGAGAGAGGGAGGGAGGGAGGGAGGGAGAGAAAGAGACTTTAAATAATTGTAGGGCTGTCAGCCCACAATGCTCCATCTAGCCCACATCTCCACTCATGTAAGTAAAATCAGAGAACAATACATTATTCTGGGTTTGGGTTTCCTGTGATGTGCAACTAAACAAAATCCCACTTTTCACATCCCTTGCTATGCCCCACACTTGAAAGATTTCATCACATTTCATCTTTTCAAAGGCCTCAGTTGATAGCAAGATCAAAACCCCATTACGCCTATTCAGGTCGATTGACCAAAACTTTTAATACTCACGTTTAAATTTCAATAGCTGTGTAGTCATTTCTGAATTTTAAGTTGTAGTAATAAAGTTAACTGTAAAATAGCATGAGAATAATTCTAAATCCATTTCACTATGCTGTGATCAGTGCTTAACAGCCCTCTATAATGAAAGGCTACTAAACGTGGGGACTTACAGATACTTTCCTTGGAGGAGATATTAGGAGAAATGTGTATTTTAATAATAATTAATGATAGTGATAATAATTAAGGAATCTGGTACAGCATATACCTATTCTATAGGCAGGTGAGTGGTGAGGATAATATCTCAGCCAGGACCCTGGAAACCTCCTTCACAGAAGAAGCTTGAATTTAGCTAAGAAAGCAGGATATCCACATAAGATGTTGTTCCCACATAAGAAGGTTCTCACCAAAAGCCATCCTTTACCTCAGCAGGAGTATGAGAAGAGTCACCATCATTCCTTCTTCAAACCCTAGAGAAAACAGCAGGTCTTCCCTTCACCCAGGGAATAGCCTTCTAGACTAACCTTGGTTCCTTGTGCTCTTCCATCATTTCCAAGCCCGGAGATGGAGCATCTTCCTCTGTGGAGTTAATCCTCCTTGTCCTTCCTCTTGTGATGTCACTTCAGTTATACCTAAGGAACACAGGATGGCCTCCTCTTATCATTATCTGAACATAATCACATCTTCAGTCTCTCTTGTCATGTGAGTGAACACTCACAGGCTCCAGAGAAAAGTATCTTTGGGAACCATGATTCAGCTTGCCTTTCCTTCCACAGCACCTGACCCATGAATAAAACTGGTGTAGTGCTTCCGCACCTGTAGCATTGGCCATGCCCTTTTGGGTGTGGTCGCAGGTGCGGATGTGACCGGAAAAGAATTGAGTTGGGGTCAGAAGCCCCTTCAGGTCACGGAGAGCATCAGGGTGGCAAGGTCCGCGACCTTGGGCCTGGAGCGACTCGATAGTCACTGTGTAAGTTATTTTTTCCTAATAAACTCCACGTCACATTACTGGTCAAGCATCCCAATCGTTGGAAGTCGCTTGCTTTCAGTTCCTGCCTACCCTGGTATTGTTATCTTCTTTCTCAGGTCTTTGATGAGGTTGAAGATTAGACTGTCACAATTGTTCTCTCTTCCTAGATAGAAACATTTACGTACAAGACTTAAACTTTCCAGTTTAGGACAACTTCATTATAATCTCTATTATGCCTTTGCTGTAGGACTGGACATGCATTCTTTCCAACTGTTCTATGTTGCTTCTTTAGCAGTATGTCTTAAATTGTATATTTTTTTACTTTTCTACTCTTCTTATTTAAACAAAAATAGGAATTGTAGTGATATATTCACTCTCCTCACCTGTAGCACTTGCACTTTTGGGCGTGGTCACAGGAGTGGACATAACTGGAAAAGGATTGAGTTGGGGTCAAAAGCCCCTCAGGTCACAGAGAGCATCAGGGAGGCAAGGTCTACATCCTTGAGGCTGGACAACGCAATAGTCACTTGTTTCCTGTGTAAGTTATTTTCTCCTAATAAACTGCACATCATCTTACTGGTCAAGCATCCTAATTTCTATGCCAATAAACTGGAATCTACCACCAAGAACCATAGCCAGTGTCACAAGAGACAGGACAATAATTCATTGTAATCCAGCCCACGTTTCTGACATTATTATAAAATACTGGCTGATCTAAGCAGGGTTGACACAGCCGACTGAAACAAGCATGCTTGAGTTTGGTTTTCTCTGCCATTCTCTATATAAAGATTAGCCTTGTGAGAGAAGAAGCATTTATCTTCACGTTGGCTGTCAGATCAAGACTCTCAGAGGACTGACTCTTCCAGTTCCTTCCATCAGAGTTGCTTGAGGAAAAGACACCCAAAGAAGGCACAGGAGCTACTACCTTTGACTGGAATTGGTTCTGAGTAGGGGAAAATACTCTTGAACTGCTTCCCCATTTCCTCTCCAGACTTCCCACCCTCTGCTTTTCTTCACATGACCCTCAAAACCTGAAGGAAGGGCTTGCTTTCGGGGTGGAGTGGGGACCTTGAGTCTGACAAGAAGGACAGCAGCCCTCTCCTCCTAACTCCAGTCTCTGCTTTGTGGACAAGAAGGACTTGACCATATGTCTACCTGCCCACCAGCCACCCCCACAGTTGTTTTTCCACCCCTAATCCCACTGTTTTTCTTGATAGTATTTGCCCTTCCTCTGTCACCATGGGAACAAGTTGTGCTCTCTGATTTTATTGTTTGGGAGACTGAGGTCCCTGATGCTGATCCCAAAACATACTGTGTTAATAAACACTCCTAGACAATTGAAAGCACTCCACAGTCTGCTTGAAACTACAAAGGGCTTTCCAGATGAAATGTCATTTGTTTACTGGGACTTGACTAGAGACATTCTGTCTCCTGGAATGCACACTTCATTTCTTCATGAGCACAGTTCACTTGCTTCGTTAGAGAGACACATGTCCCTGGGAGTGGAAGAAGAAGGGACACCATCATCGAAGAATGTCATCACAGCCTAACTCAGGACATTGTTGGTATCCCAGTGCCCATCACCAACCTCTAGGCCTCCCCTTCTGTGTTGGAGCCCAGGGACATCCTCTAGGCCTGCCCTCTGTGCTGGAACCTATCACTATTCTCCAGGACCCACCCTCTGTGCTGGAACCTATCACCATCCTCTAGGCCCTGCCTGCTGGGCTGGAGCCCATGGCCATCCTCTAGGCCCCTTCAGACTCTCAGATGATGTTGATTAAGGTCAACTCCTACCCAAGCATTTCATTTATTAGGTAACTTTGGATAACTCCCTCAAAATGATGGATATAATTTATCAGTGGACTTGTGGAGGAGGGGAGAATTGAGCATGAGCATGGGAAAGTACTTATTGTGGAATGAAGAAATGGGGACGTCTCCACCCTCAACTCAACTCACAGACTTATACGTGATCTTGCTGCATGCACTTCCATGGACTTAAACCCATGTACTGTGTCAAAGTGAAAGATTAGAAGTGAAAGTACTCATTGTGGAAGGAAGAAATGGGGACATCTCCACCCTCAACTCAACACTACAGACTTATACGTGATCTTGCTGCATGCACTTCCATGGACTTAAACCCATGTACTGTGTCAAAATGAAAGATTAGAACCAAACCAGAAAATCATCTTCATTGGTGGCTTTTAGTCATGGCTACTGAGATCAGAGGGGTCCAGAGAAGGAGACAAGTAACTTCCTGTCTATCTCCTTTAGACATGCCACAATTTTGCCTGAAGCAATTATTTTGCTTGTTTGTAGGGTTTGGGGTTATTTTGGTAGGGGTGTTATTTGTTATTATTTTGAGGGGTTTGTTGCTTTTGTTTTGAATTGGAACCTCCTTGTGTAGTCCTGGAACTCTTTGTAGAGACCAGGCTGGCCTTGAACTCGGAGATCTGAATGTTCTTCCTCTCAAGTGCTAAGAGTCAGTCACAGAAGAGCTCTAGGGGTGAACACTATTAGGATAGCCATTCATCTTCCTTTCTCTAGAGCTAAGTTATTCATAGGATATTGGATTTGTAGTTGCAAAATGGAAAGTTCCTGAAAACCGGGACAAGTTTTGTCCAGTCCTGCTGTGTTCACATGATGGGTAGGAAATGGGGAATGAATAGCAAGCATGGATTTACAACTGTGAGACAAGTACAGAACAAAAGAAAAATCAGGAAAAAGCTGCAATGATTTGAACAGTTTCCAAAAGAGACACCAATGCTGATATTTTTAAAAAAATCAGTAGCAGGAGCTAATAATACAAGAGAAAAAAGTATTCTAGGAGAACTCACAAACACTTGCTGAAACTTGATGTCCAGCCCATGGAAGCAGTACAGACTATTTCAGTGATTCTGTGTTGTTCCTCGAGGATACTGGGCAGCCATTGCTAGATTAATAAGGAGAAGAAAGTTCACATACCAGTGAGCTTTGCCACAGGCCTCACTGCCAAGTTGTCCGGCTGTCGTGAGAGTGCCAACTCTACTCCACACTGGCTCCTAACCAAAATCCCTTTCAGACACCGAGGACCAAGCCACTCTTTTTGCCATCCACAAATTGAAATGTGCATGGATGTCAGCCAGTCTTCAAAAATTAGTGCTTGGTTCATGTAAACGATCCCCACACACTTTCACAGCTACTTGAGAACACACTGGAACCTAGCCACACACCCAGCTATGGGAAAAGGACTGGCCTCCTCCTGTAGCCATGCTTACTCAGGTTTCTAGAACTTTCTATGATCTTTGTGTCCTCATCCTCTGGATGTGTGTTAATCTGATGGAGACTTGAGTTCCTAAGTTGTCATTTCTCAAACTGTGAACCCAGAATTGCAGTGTTTGCATCATCCGGTGGCTAATCATAAAAGCCAACTTGGAGGTCCCACTCAGACCTGCTGAATTACACTCTCTCAGATGGAGGTGGGCACTCATGTGACTCTGACACACACGGAAGCGGAGAAAGAGAAACAGTGTCCTAGGTGAAGCATGGTCTCCGGGCCCCTGTGCCACACTAGAGTCTCTTGCCACTTCACAGACCACGAGAAGTAGCCAGGTGTGATGGCACAGATCTGTTAACTCAGAGGGAGGTGGAAGTACAAAGATGAGTTCAAGGTCAGCCTTGGCTACAGTGAGAATTTGAGGCCAATCTCGGCTACCTAGGAGCCTGTGGGGGGGGGGAGACAATAACAACAAAACAAAACAAAATCCCTGACATCAAAAAGTTAAGAGTATTCCAAATGCACACTCCTCTCTGCCTCATTGACCCATTCTCCTCTCCTGCAGGCTGCCTTGCTCATTGGCCTCATTCTAGGTCAGATGTCTCCACCCAGCTTAGCAGCCTTCTCAAGTGACCAAGATTGTGCATTCAGTCTGCTAACAATAGTCCACATCCCCTCTGTCCCTTGAACCCATATTCTTCCTGCCTCTCCCATTCTAATGTCAAGTTAGTGGTTGTCCTCTCTAATTTGTCATCAGGTTGCTAAAATGTACCCTGGCAAGCGACATCCCCTTCTCTGCATCCTCTCTCCTCCCCTCCTCCCTTCTTTTCTTCCTCTCTCCTTCCTTTTATCCCTTTCTTCCTTGGTCCCTTCTGTCCTTTCTCTCCTCTTCCTTCCCTCCCTCCTCCCTCCTGTCTTCCCTCCTTCCTTATCACCATTTTCCATCCCTCCCTTTCTTGCTCCTTCCTTCACTCCTTCATTTCTTCCTTCTTGCTCCCCATGACCTCCCCCACCCAGTCTTAGCTGCCTCCCTCCTGAGCAGCTTCCATCCTTGGGCACAGCGCATTCTATGAACTTCTGGAGGAGCCCTTGCCATAAGTAGAGCTGTATCAATGCCTGTACCCAGCCAGGAGCCCCCAGCTGTCACTCAGAGTCACTGTGGAGTATGGTAAGATGCAAGCCTGCAGACCAAACAGTGGGGTCCTAACTCCTCCTAGGGACAGCCTTTTAAATATCTGTGGACAATTATCACCTCCTCCCAGGCTTCTTGTCACCAAGCCTTAAATCAAAACCATCACTTCTCACCACATGCTGATGCTTTGTATGTATATAGCCCCTGTCCTGCTACTCATCCATTTGGTTCTTCCTTGTCTCTTTTCAAATGGCTGACTTAAATCATTGCCGGGGCTGGGCATCAGTGTAATTCAACCTCTGAACATTTCCTGGTTGTGTCTATACACCATATTACTTGAGGAAGGTGGGGGTTTTCCCCATTAGGGCCAATCACTATTTGGAGATGTGCCAAGTTCTTGTTTTAATATCATTTCCAAGTATGACCAACCACCATAGTTTTTAAGGAGCCTTGAAAAATGAACATATATGGTGGTTTTACCCCAAGTACGCAGAATTTTCAGAAGGTGGGGGGGCTCTGAAGGAGGCTGAGGCTTTGAAACTCTGGTCACTCTTTTGCTTGATCATCTCTAGGGTACCACTGGCCTTTTTTGTTTGTTTGTTTGTTGTTTTGTTTTGTTTTTAGAAAACAAAAGAATTAAAGCTTTGACATTAATCTGTGAAAATGCTTTCTGTCTCAAATAACCAGCTACTAATTCATGGAGACTTTCTTTGGTAAATAAGCAGAAAATGAGATTAAACTATTTCCTCTTTGTTCAATCTCTCCAGAATTAGAGAGCTTTCTAAACCCCCACAGTATTTTAATGTAGAATTTCAAATACAAATAGACAAGCAATAATTACACATTTTACTTCATTCAAGTAGTACTACAGAATAAATATCTTTCTAAAGTTTTAAAACCCTAACCCTACAGGTTTCAGCTTCCTTAGCCCTGGAGCTACCAGGCAACAAGAGGCCACAAACTGCTGCCTGATTCCAATGGAAAACCCCAACAAAGGTGAACAGGAAATGCCCCTCTGCCAGCCTCAGAAGACATAAGTGATAGGCTTAGTGTATGACCAAACAGACAACGAACACAAATCAAATCCTCATCAGAAACAAAGCTGTCCACCATAGGCAAAGTCCGAGAACTTAACTTTTAGAGTGAGCGTTTCACTACACAAGATGGTAATACCATTCTCAGCACGACTAAGCTACTAGAGAAATTACCTGCTGTGCAGAGAAAATCACAACATGAATGATACACAACAGCCCACTCACAACAGCACTCCACAAATACAGGGTCATTTGGAAGAATTTTACATCACCTGTCATAAAACCACTTCAGCAACCAATTAGGAACTCTCTAGAAACTAAGGAGAGAGGAGAGAATTAGAAAATCTTGGGAAAGAGATGGAAGTTATTTCTGTCAATCAAATATAGTATGGACTTGGAAGACAGAGTAAGCACTACAAATGTGTACCATAGCTGCCCAGGAACCCAAGAATACCTGGCTTGGTAATGCTAGTGCTCGGTTTTCAACAGAGGTGTCAGACGAATGGAACCCAAATCCTGAGACCTTTCTCCAAAAGTTCCAGATTGCAGAAGTGCCACCTTCCAAGTGGAACAAGGAGAACAGAAATCTTGAGCTATTACGATGGAATGATTTCTAGCAGAAAAGAGAAAACCAACAAACTGAACTCCTGGCTATAGGTTTTCAACCATTTTAACTTGGACGGTGATCCCTATGATGTGAAGTGCCTGAGCAGCAGCAGGGGCCCAGGTCCATGCCAGAAGCATTGGTTAGGTCTGAAATGTCCAGCACAGGCTACTGGGTTTGAACATTGGCACCCAGGTGGTGGTATTGTTTTTGTTAAGGTTGTGTGGACCTGTTAGCTGAGGTAGATAGCTGGTGGTAGGCCTTCAAGTCATGTCTGCTGCTGGTGGCAACCCGAGATCCCTGCATCTTGGTCCAGTGGCAATGTAAAAAAACAACCGTCAAAGATGCCAGCTACCACAGGGAGAGCAGCTCCTGCCACCCCTGCCATGGCAGGCTGCATTCTTTGAAACCAGGAGCCATAATGAAGCCTTCTCCTAAGTTCCTTCTAGCCGGTATTGTCTTAGAAGGATGAGAAACATGACTGACAGTGGTTGGCTCCAGCTTTATGTTTCAGACCTGTACCTTGTGTTCAGATGATTAACAAGTTTCCCAAGGGATACCAAAGCAGTCAGTCTGTGGCTTGATTCATGAGAACCAAACTTGAAAACCAGTCACTCTGTGAGGCCTAAGAGCAAGATGACTCAGTAACCCTCCCAAAGACATCACAATAATGTACAAAACACTTCCAAAAGTTAGACAAAAAAAAGATTTGAAATGTGCCAGAACCACAAAGAAATCTGAGTCAAACATGCATAATAGCAATGTATCAAAAAATCCCATTATTCTGTTAATATGTATAATTGTATGCATTTATGTGTCAATTAAAAATAAGTTTTAAAAAACCCAAATGAGTGAAAAACCATTCAAAACAGCATTGATGTGTGTCATTAAAACATGAACTATATGAACCCAAGAGAAAAACACAGCAACCTCAAAAATGATGTAGAATGTGTTTTCTCTTGCTCTCTTAAAATTGTCCTCATTTGCGTCCTAATCTACCAGTGAGATCCATCAGGGTGACACTGAAGGAGAGATGCCTGCACTACAGATCCCTCTTTAATTCTCCAAAAGAAAATACTGATACTGATCTGGTGACATGGTAAGAAGTGGTTGAAAAATCTCATTTCACACCCTAAGAAATTTTTTTTGTAGTTTTGTAGTTTTCTAAGTAAATCCCACTCTATATTTAATCAAAATCTCCACAATGTTTAAGCCTAAAGGTTCATCATCTAATAGCTGAAAATGTTGACATGGTATTAATTGAACAAGGGCTATTTTTGCACATCATTTGGGGATAATGGGGTTTGGGGACCGGGCTTCAGTCTTGCCCTAAACAATTGACTAGTCTTTTAGAAGATGTCGGCCATGAATTCATCTATACAGCTCCCCAAACCACAAACTCAGAGAGCTGTCAGCAAAACAATCCACTCACGTTTCCATTCATTGATTTTAGTGGCAATGGGAAAGGATGCTGCCAAACTACTTTATAGACTCAAAATACAGCTGTCCACCCTTTTCCCATTCCCATTTATCCTTTTACAAGTTATTCTTTTCTTTTAAGGAAAAAAGAGAGGGCTCTTATTGATAATCAGTTTTCCATGAAGATGCATTTTCAGAGAGTAGGATGCTCCTAAGTAGTGCGTTTCCAATCTGATCAGGCTTGTTTTGTCTGGCAAATGAATTATGTAAACCTTATCCACCAGAAACTGTTTCAAGTCAATTAATTGTTGTAATTACTTAAGATTTCTTTTTAATGAATATAGCTCTCCAGGGATTCGGTGATATCCTGTCATCTGTAGGGCCTGATAAATGAAATGTGATTTGTGGCTCACTGCAAACTGAACCCTCATACATGGGCAATGTCTGCGTCCTGTGTGCTCGTTAAATGGAAGCGATGCCCTTGATG